GACATTACAATAATGACTCCTTTGTTTCACATCTAACTTGTTTTTGTCATGATTACGTTGTTCGTAAAATATAGATGTTTCATGATAATAATTCTGTATATGTTTACAATTTCGTACTTGGGATTTGGGCCCTTGGAATAATGAGCAGAGCTTTTCGAGAACAAGTTTATTGCGTGCTTGATACAGACTGGCGCACGTGAAGCACACAGTTGGTTTTATACCTGCGGTGTGCTTCCGTTGCATTTTCTTTTGATAAAACATTACAGAAGCTACGTTACTTATATTACGTGATAAAATATAATAGGAAGCAAAAAAATAGAAAAGCATAATATTAAATCGGTCACATGATTTGGAATTTTAAATTTAGTTAAAAATAAATGAAAGGTATTATTTTTAATTTTGGTCGATTAAAATAACACTCCCTTCTTACAAATTAAAAATAGACCTGTCTATTTATGTTAGCAAAAATTATTAAAAACGTTTGTTTTTCTAAAACCCCATAAAAAAAATTTCCCACATGGTGTCAACTTGTAGTCATTACACTTATTTTTGCAGAGTTTCAGAGATTTAGAGAGGTACTGAAAAGGTTATATGGGCAGAATTTAATGTTTGGCAACAAGACAAGCAACATTTCACTGAAAGAAAAAAAGTTACATTTCCTTTGAATTTCATTTACCAAAGTAAAAACAATTTAGTTTAAAAATTGTTCTGTAGTCTGAATCTTACTGGAAAAACTTTTAAATCATTCCGATATGTTTTTTTTTGAGTGTTTTTACTTGATGCAATTAGTTATTTTGACCAATTAGTTTAGTACGTCACAACTTCAATTAAAATTTTTAATATCACATAAAAATGTATATAGAGAGTTTTTAGTGGAATTACTTTTACCTACGATTCGCATTAACTATGCAGAATAGTGTACAGTGATAAAACACTACAAATTTTTTTTATGCAACACTATTTGAAAAAATTCTATTTGTAAAATTCACTTATTATACTTCCAGAAGAGATTTAAGAGTTAGGTACAAAACTTACTCGGGTGTAACGATGAAGTATCCACTAGAAGTATTGTAAAGCTTTCTTTCCTTGGTGAGCTGCGCCAAAGTATCGTAGAGGGCGTGTTCGCTTGGAGGTGAAACATGGGGAAAAGCCAGCATAAGGGATTCTCTGATGGTTTCGAGTCCGGCTGGCCGGCCTTGACTAGACAGCCTAAGAACTACAGCGCACACTGCCTCCGGGAGTGGTGTCCATTGGGTCTGCGCCACTGGAGTCAGTGAGCAGTGTTCTAAATCTTCTGCAAGAGCATTTGATAGTGTATGAACCAAGAAATTTGTAATAAACTAATAAACCAATGTATAATTAGGAAAAAATAATGACCTTCGATATCTTTCGATATAAAATAGGTATTCACAATTACATCACCAACAACCTTTTTTATTATTATTGTTTTTTTTTGTTTCATTTAATAGTTTTTATTTTTCATCTGCTCATACACATATAAATTAATCTATATAACAAAATAAATTACCTATTTTTCGCATGACTTATCACCGAAAATAATTTTTCATGTTTAAATCAAAACAGTTAATTCCAATATTCTTAAACAATGCAGATATAATGTGCTAACAAACTAACACTTGTCTCCTCAAAATTCCCAAACCCACGGACGTTTTCTTTTTTATTTAACGTATTATATAGAAACATATAACTTTTAATAATTCTACTAACCTAATGCTACTATTTGGTACCCCGGCGGCGGTTGCAATACTCTCCTGGCCCAAGCATTCCTCAAAATTTCCAAGGCACATGGCTCCGACCCAACCAAAAGTGCACCAGGATTTACATATCCATAATATATTAAACTTTTTGTGGCTCCATTCAGACCATTATTCCACCAACAGACAGAATTCGAGGATAGCAACCCCTGAAAGATGATAATTAATTGCCTATTTTGCATTAATTCTTAATTAAGAACAAAATTATAACGCCCCTAATTGAAATTATACAAATTAATGTGTAAATACATATTAAATTGTGGATATTAAAATAAAAATTCATTTGATATAAAAAGGTCCTCTTGTTGTATTGCCTGAAAACGCACCGTTTTTGGAGAAACTAATTGATAATCCCAAAATCAACCAACTTCTACTTCTTAATATACAGGGTGTCCGAAAACGAATGAGCCGTACTTCAAGAAAGCTTCCTTGAATAAAAATAAACCGATTTAGATCAAGTTACCTTAATACAACTTTGCTGCCCCAAAAATTATTAATTAATTAAAATAGAATAAAAAAATAACTTTTTAAGGAATCAAAATCATAATACAGTAACTTTAATATAAATCGGCATATTTTCATCCAAGGAAGCTACCCTTGAAATGTGACCCATTTTTTTATAGACACCATGAAAATAAAGATTAGAAGAATATTTTCGTTTTTCTCAAAAACAGACAATTTTCAACAAGGATAGCTTTTATTTAAATTGAAATTTTACACTATAACTCACACGACATACACTGAACCTTCAGCAAATATGCTCTAAAATTAACACTAGGTAACGTCTCAAAAAACATCGGTACCTACTACATTTCAATGCGTCCTATTTTTTTTAACTTTGATAACCTGTACTAACAAAATCCTAATTTTCTGATATTCTATCAACTTCTTAATGTATGGTACTTTTCCCAAAATACCCTGTACCCTGCATAAAGTGACATAAGTACCTACACAACAAACAAAATTTAATAAATAAAATTTGAAGAATATTATGTAGGTACCCACATAGGTTTCATTGGATAGATTTACATCTTGTTCACCTTGCATAAGGCCGACTCTATGATCGCGCCAGCGTTAATTCAATTATTAAGTAAAAAAAAAAAGTGCCGCTTCGCCGGAGAATGCGTGGGGAAGGTATCGTTTTCTACAATTCGAAATAAGAAACCACATCCATAAATACTCGCAGACTCTGAAGTATTCTATCGTTACTACATATTTCGTTTTCCAATTTATTTTGATCCAAATGTAGTCTACATTATTTAACTTTCTATTTATTAGATAAAATAACCAATTAGGTACTTAGTTTGTCGTACTGAGATATATAGAGAATTAGAGAAATATACATACAGGGTGCCGCATGTTTTCATTAGGAGATATAGGGTACTATTGAAAAACATAATAAAATAGTTAAAAACTTCTATGTAGATAAGTTTGGTTAATTCATAGCATGGTTAAATCCTAACATTTTGAAAATAGAGATTCACCGATACGAACCACTACACTGTTACCACTATATAGGTATATTTTCTTAATGTTTATTTTTTTATAACATGTAACTTTTAAAAGAGATATTATGATACCGAAGGTAATGTTAAAATCTCGATCTAGTTAATAAAGTAAACGATATATAATTTATACTGAAACTTTCATAAAATGTCCTATATAATTTGAAATTATTGTATCGATTACTTTATTTTTTTTTCACGATTGTGCAAAAAACCTATAAAAAATGGAAATAATAACAAAATGTTTTAATTTTAGGTCTCTGCAGAGATATTTATTACAATAGATGTCTATATGCAAAGCTGTAGGTAAGTCCTTACAAGATTTTTGAACTTTAAACTGTTATCTCTTGCATTGGCCAAACTGGACACGTATGACATTCCGATCTGTCATGTCCTTGAATAGTACAAGATCAAAAAGTAAATGATTTGCAGGAATCGTGAAACATAAAATATCCAATCATACACGATACAGTTTTATACGTTCAAGGAGTTTTTTTTATCATCACGATTGGCAGAGAAAGTTAATACTTTATTATATCCTACAAATTAATTTTTTTGCCAGTACTTACTAAAATCTCTAAAGTCTTTACTCCTACTTATAACCATTAATATATGAGTATTTACGCATATAATAACAAAGAGTTTAAGTTAGCAAGAAGGGGTTCCAATGAGTGATTCAGCAATTTAGCAAAAATAACTAGATATGTCTTAATAATTAATGTATCGACATAAAAATTTCAACTTAAATTTTTTAATTTAGAAGAATAAATAATTTTAAAATGAATTAACATGAGTTCTCACGCTTCATTATAGATTCAAAATATTCATAAGCTGCTTCTCCGAATTAAATTAAATTTTTAAGATATCTCGGAAAACATTAAATCCTATACCCATACACAAAGGTGCACCAGTGGCGTTTCTGGTTAGGTCAGGTTAGGTTTCTCTGTTTTTCTTCCATCATATTAGAAAGATAAAACGTAACAAAAAAAAAAAAACTTTCTACACTCGATTGTATAAATATAAAGAAAACAAATAATAATTCTATAAGAAAATAAAACATTATGCGAAGTATTGAGTACTTATATTAGTATTTTTTACTGTTTTCTTTTATGTTAATTTTTCGATTGGAAATATTACAGTAATCTATACATATTATGCCAACAAGAAAATGCATCGGTATACTTTAAAATTAGAAAATTCTGTGCAAATAAGGAAAGGAATATAAAAAACTTTATACAAAGGATTTCGGAGGATTTTTTATTTACAAAGTTTCGACTTGTCATTCATAAACTCGGTAACCTCAGGAGGTGCGGCTTTGTTGAATAATAACAGGAGTAATTAGAATGTACTTAAGCACATGAATTTAAGAAGACAGTGGTAACGTACCTGGAACAATAAATAACCATTTTCGTACATCCAGAAGTCGCCAGGATCTCCTCTACAACCCTCTTTCCGCACCACTATGGCTAAAATTTGATTCAGTTTCACGCGGCAATTATAACCGCCATCCACGCCGTTTCGACTAGAATTCATCTTCAGGTGATCATTCTAAAATAATAACCTTTATCAATAAAGAACCACATCTAAAATCAAAATTTATTTGACCAATATGTTACAATGGTAATTGTTGTAGATATATGGGTAGGTACGATGAAGGGTTAGTCATAATGAAATATCACCAAACGGGGAATACATATACAGGGTGTCTCACGGTGACGAGACATACATCGATTTTAATTTTGAAAATTTGGGCAATAGCATGCTTTTCGCAACTAAAATAATGGCGAATAATAATAACTTATTTTTTTTGTAATGGAACACCCTGTATATTTTTGCGCAAAATTGTTCATCAGGCAAATTTTTCAACAAGCATGATTTTTTTTCATAAAATGGAAAATAAAAAAGGTTCTCTTCATAGACGTACTGTATAACAATGCATTTATTTTGTTTTATTTAGTGCTGGATTGTCCCAAGTCAAAAACATTTTTATAATGCAATAAATTTATTAAATATGTAGAAAAAATGTATTTATAAAAAAATATATAAAAAGCCTTGTAGTAAATTAATTTATCCTAAATAAGAACTAAGGAAGGACCGATATGATAATTATCGTTAAACCGCGTTCTCTAATTTCGAAATCATAAAGGCCAAACCGGACACGCATTCTCACAAAAATTGTGTAATGTATGGGAACATTGAATGGACTGTATTATGAATGTTGTTGGCCAATTTACATACCTAGGTATAATACTTACGATGATTTTTATTTTAAGTGTTCAATACTTGTATTTTCCTGGATTGGAAGTGACAGTTTTTTTCTTCTACATACATACAGTAAGAGATCCAATCAGCAAAAATTTTTAGTTCGTTGCAAAAATTACAGAAGGCCACCTCTTGACTAAACAACAAAGACTAAACTATTTTTTTTTTTTGACTCATCCGACATTCGACCCTACGTGCCAAAATGTTTTTTAATAATATTTTATAAATATATCAGACGAATTGGTAAGGTTTTTTCGTTTTTCTAGTGCCCTCGTTAATATGAATTTTTGAAAATAAATAATTATATAGGTATGTATATGGCTTTGTAAGATGTATAAATAAAAATTATGTAAGCGTTATATAAAATAAAAATCAATATTACTTTATGGAGATGTAATGAGGTTGTACATACGACACACCAAAATTTACGAGATTGCTGCTAGTTATTACAATAAAAATAATGTAACTTCGCTACAATGCAGCATATAATCTAAACAAAGAAAATATTTACATTGTATATAATGAAATTCCCAGTATAGTGGTCAAAGACCGAAACCAGAACATCGTCACCCACATCCATAAAACGGTGTAACGAACCAAGGTGGAGATATGGTGCCGTGACTTCATGGGAAGGAATCTAATTCAACAATACCAACCCGGTATGTACGTGATTGTAGACCGATGCCGTTTGTGACAGAATAACATAATTACAAGCTAGACGATTGTTTCGAAGCTTTATCAAGAAGGCAATCTGTTCTTAAACAGCCGTTGTTACTACATGGATTATATAATTAATGTTTCGCCACTGTTTGCGCAACGCTCTAGTGTTTGATTATTCAAATTTCATTTGTCACTTTTACCTACTATAGAAGGCGGCTCCTAAACAACGGCGGCGGCGCCTCCAACAGATATGCCCCGTTGAGCTTGAAAATATTGAACACAATTAATTAGTAAGAATCTATCTATTTATGTGTTGGCCAAAAGTGACGCTAGAATAAGAATAAAAGGCATTTCTTTGAAGGATTACATTATTTAATGATTTCAGTGTCGGTTACCTATCTATTTTTTTTTGTTTTAATTAATATTTATAATTATTCAATGCTTACCGAGAGTATTTGTATCTCGCAATGTCGTCATTGAAGTAAGATATTTTTTACATAATATCTAGATTTTTGGTGTCAAAGAACACCGTTTGACTTCATTTGATAGGATTAAAAAAAACTGTTTTGAGTTAGTTAATACCTTTAAAGGAAATCAACAATTCTGTAGATGATTCAGTGTACGCGATATTTAGTTATTATAATAGGTATCTTAAATAAATTATTAAATATTTGGAGCCATTAGAACATATAAATAAAGCTTTAAACGCTCACGATCTTCTAACAACAAATGGGTAATTATATAGTATCTCGGTTGTTGGATGCAAATACATATAAAATAAATTTGTATTTTAAACAGTTTCTCCATTAACCCAAGATCCACTTACAAAACTTATAAAATTATATTAGGATCATATTCGATGCAAAGTAATAAACCATTGCATGTCAAGGGATCCAGTGCAGTGCAGTTTTAAGGGGTTTAGAAATGGAATAATTTCCTTATGCATTATGAAGGGGTTCAGGTCTGGCACCCCTGTTCCTACAAAAACCCCTTTATCCACATAAACTATTTATTTTAAATGTAATTTATTATAAATCCAATTTGTTTTTTAATTCCACATATGTACTACACTGTACGCGCCACTGTTGGTTACTTGTTTTTTGGAGACGGTCTCTGATTTACGACCAATTAAGCTCACCAGGTTAGTATTTGACGTATAACCGACCACTTCGTACACTCGATGCACCTGGGCGACTACAGCTACTACCAGAACACAGCGTGTATGAAGCGGTATTTCAGATTTTACATTCAATTTCATTTTAAATTTGAAATGGTTCATCTTAAGCGTCCTAAAAATGATGACACGATACTCCTTTGATAAAAGACCGACAATTTTTTGCTCTACTTTGCTTCGAATACGACCCTACTATAGTCTAACATCATTTCGTACGTAGGCCTGTTGCACGTCGCTAGCTAGTGGTGTCGTAAGTTTTTGTATAATTAAGTGTCAATGGCCGTTTGCCGATATTCACTTATTCAAAATTCGATAGATTGTATGTGTAAAGTATTTTTTTTAATAAGGTATTTCATATCCTAGAGTCGAAGTCTCACGTGTTCGTTTAATTTAAATAAACTGCGACTTGCCTTTGTAAAATATTGTAAAATATATATTCACCACACTCACAGTAAATCACGATCTTACAATCAGTATGAAGTTAGATTAGCCTTGTGCAAAAATATTCAATGTAGAGAAAGGAAAATCTCGACTACAATGAATATTGTCAAAATAGACAGTTTGACCTTTGACCCACCCATGTTTTAAGAAATCTTACTATACTTGAAGGACTGTATCGAGATTCAAGTATCAGCTTCTGGGACATAAATATATTCTTGAATAGCTAACCTATATACAGGGTGTTCCTAAATAAGTGTCGCAACGGAAAACTGTAAATTCTTCTTGGAAAAAATTATTTTCCTCTTCCATTTTTCTCTCCGGGCTTTCGTTTTCGAGATACACGGTGTCAAAACTTTAATTTTTTTTTAGTTTTTCGCCAATATCTTAGGAATCGTTTGAACTACAGGACTGAGCTTTTGTACACACATTACCACTATTAATAGCTACTTTTTCGCACCCTTCTCGAATTCATTGGACGTGCCAGTGGTGGAGATTTTAAGGTATCGTAAGGGTTTTTCCCCCCCTAAATTTTACGCCACTGGAAAAATTGACTTTTGACAGCAAATTCTAAAGCGCCAATGAATTTTACACAATAAGAGTTCTCTTGGTTCATTGCTCTAAAGTCAACCGTTTTCAAGAAAAATGACTTTTTATGAACAAAAGCAAACATTTTGCTAACGTTTCGAAAATCTTTTGTAATTCAAAAAATAGGTAGTAATAATTAACAATTTTAACGAAATTTAACAACAGATAGGATTTTAACTTTTTTTTATCAATTTGGCGAGTAAAATTTACAGAAACTGTTCAAAATTACGTCCGTTGGCTTGAATGCACGCATTACATCTTCTAATCATGTTTCTTTCTGCCGCTGCGGCTTCACCTCTATCGGTCAACTTTTCGATAGTATTGACATGGAACGTTAGCAAAAATGTTTGCTTTTGTTCATAAAAAGTCATTTTTCTTGAAAACGGTTGACTTTAGAGCAATGAACCAAGAGAACTCTTATTGTGTAAAATTCATTGGCGCTTTATAATTTGCTATCAAAAGTCAATTTTTCCAGTGGCGTAAAATTTAGGGGGGGAAAAACCCTTACGATACCTTAAAATCTCCACTACTGGCACGTCCAATGAATTCGAGAAGGGTGCGAAAAAGTAGCTATTAATAGTGGTAATGTGTGTACAAAAGCTCAGTCCTGTAGTTCAAACGATTCCTAAGATATTGGCGAAAAACTAAAAAAAAATTAAAGTTTTGACAGCGTGTATCTCGAAAACGAAAGCCCGGAGAGAAAAATGAAAGAGGAAAAAAATGTTTCTTTTTTCCAGAGGAATTTACAGTTTTCCGTTGCGACACTTATTTAGGAACACCCTGTATACCTTTTTGTTTTCGCATCGAAGGTAACAGCACGATTTGCAAAAAAACATCGCGTACTCGCATCACCATCGAAAACGACATGCGACATGTCGACTTCAAACTTCCGCTTCCTACCTCGCAGACACGCCATCCCATCAAACAGCTGACAATTAATTGTTATGTATCTACAGTTTACTAGTAGAGATAATATAGATACTACATAGAAGAAATAAATTGCAAAAAGATATCTGCTGACTATTCGTTATTTTATCCAAAGTATATAATGATCGGGGAAGAAGATAGGCGGCAAACATTCCACTGAAGTAAAATGAGAATCGACCTTCACCTCAAATAACTTTCTTTGATTACGTACAAATAATGTTTTTCAAACATGCTTATTAATTTTTACGATTACGTACAACTTAGATAAAAGCTATGGGCAGATATAAAAATTTATACATTTACATATTTTAAATCCTGACAAAATAATGTAACTGGTGCAATGTTTTCAAGCACGTACACATGTACTACCTACTCATGAACAAAGCAAGAGTAATAATTCTTATTACTATTTATAAAAAAAAGAAATGCAAAATTCAACCTGCGTACTTACCTTGTCTAAACAACTGACCTTGAAGTGGGAGAAAAACAGTTTTTATGT